ATTTGTCAGTATTATTTGATCTGTGATCATCAGACGAATGTCTGTCCTCTCTACTATGTTTATTTAGTAAATTGGCTCGATTGTAAAGGTATGGTATGATTAATAGTTTTATTTACTTTTACGTCATTTTGTAACCATCATGGCTATCCACAAGGTCAATGTTACAATTTAAAAACTTTGAGTTACTTTTACAATATATAGGCATTATTAGAAATTGAGATTGTTTCGTTCAAAACTTTCCAAACATTTGTCGGAAAAGCTTGGTAAGTTTGGCAAAAATATGTTTAGCCGTTATTGAGTGTGATAGTGTTACAAAGTTTTACATTGAAGCCGATCCCAAAGAGCTTTACTTCGCTCCGCTCAGTTATTAGAATCGAACTAGTAAACCTCTGGTTTACATGAATCCTGTATACAAAATAATAATTTCATCCTAATATTATCGGTTCACTTTATATAGATTATCAGGTTATTGTTTATTGACCAGAATCATCAAAATATATTACATTGTTAAGACTGACTGACTAATAAATGCACTCTGATTCGGATTCTTTGACCCTTAACGAGTTATTTTTACCCGCGAGTCTGTGACATGAGTTAGATATGTACCGATTGTACTGGTACCTTTAGATGAGACTACTAGCATAGATGAAGTACTAGTATTTTTCAGAAATCTGTACTAACTAATATGTAAAATTGGCAACTAAATGAATTGTTCTAAAAGTAATTTCAAAACACGTCACTGATTGTAAATAAATTATAACGCAAAGATAAAATTGAAAGTTAATATGAAGAACATTACTCTAAACAGGTCACCATTTGTTTTCAGATGACGTATTATCTCGTTACATCATGGTATTTGTTAAGTGACGTTTGCAGTAAAATTTGAAACTTGTCCAATATCATACAAACCAGTGATTTGGATTGTTTTGTATATCAATTTTCCAATAAATTACGAACAAATAAAATGAATTAATAAAAGAAAAATTGTTTTATCAACAATCCGGAAACTTAAGTTTTAAATGGGTTGAAGTGGCTCTCTATTGCGATTACAACGTAAAGTTGAAAAACAACATTCGGAATCATCAAGGGTTCATAATATATTGTTTTTGTCATACTACATAAACGCAGTCGTTTTTAATGCATGCGTTGCGGGTCACTCTTTAGGGAGTAAGAATCATTTTTAGCCTCTATGGAGTAAAAATCAGCTGTTGTCAACTCAGTTGTAAATTTCTATTGTAAACAATTGTATATATCGAAAATATGTATCTATTCGTGCTTCGTAACCATTTTAACCCACAATCTACAGTCTCTTCCCATAGCATTTTAGCATTGCAGATACATTAATCAATTCCCACACTCAACACTGCTCACCTTTATTACTTCCTTCACCACCCCCTACGTCCGAGCTATATCCGTGCTTCGCAAAGAGAAAGAATAATTATTATGTTCCATAGATATACTGGATGAAAAGAAACAACGAATAAATAAACACAATTTCGATAGATCAGCAGCCTTATAATTTTCAAATTACTTTTCGTATAAATTTATACGATATAATGAAATAAATTACGTTATACATTTGAAAATTCCAATATTAAGTGTATTCATAAGAATAACGTAGAAACGTTAAAGGCAGGCAGGGCAGAGCCCTAGGAGAGTATTCTTAAGGAGAATAAGTGAACTGTTGTTGTTTGCTTGTTTATAAACAAAATTTGATCAAATTTGGAAAATGTATTTATTTATACTATACTGTCAAAATTGAACTATAAAAACACCTTACAGCCTTCCCTGTAGCAGCATACATAAAAACTCGTTAAACTAATGTTATAGTAATAGAGAATAAATATTTCATTTTTAAGGAGATATTTTATTGACAACACAGTCAGACTAAAGTAAAGTAGCTTTTAGTCTGCATGTTCGTTGTGGCGGGTGTAGTTATAGTTCCGTAACGGTTTTGCAAAGTATTACCAGTAGTGGATTCACTAACGATCTCAAATACACGCCTGATATGTTGTCATTGTGTATCACCGCTATTTTTCTGCATTGTTCAAATAATCCTCAAACGAATCAGTTTTATTATTTCAACCTATGTAGGTACGATATGTGATCGTAGGATACGATAGACTGCACATTGTGAAAAAGGTTTAGTCGAGCAGGATCCATTTACACATACCGTAATTAAATAATCCATAACAATTTGACTGCTCTAGTGCAGTTGTTTCGCCACGAAAACGTTAAAATCTAAGGCATCTGTTTGCTTCATTTTGTTAGTTTATCCATGTTAGAGGTTGACGACTGATACGTTCAATCATTGAAAACCAAGGACAAACCCCCAGACAAAAACACTCCACATATTTCGTTTCTATAAACCATTAACAAATTTTGATTTCAGCCGCAGCTCCATATTGCAAATGTATGCTTTGAAGATTCAAATGAGCCAAAAACAATGGACAGCTAATTACTATTGAAGGGCACTAAAAATCACTTAAATATGGCAGTTTTAAAATGAGACTTAATTAACTTTTCTACGACATTTAGCAACACGTATATTGAACAAAAGCTGTAGATTTGAACCGTCCGTTTGGGACACGGTGTATCCAGGTCCCATAGGTTTTAATTTTTTATTAATAGGGTATCCAGCAAACATTTACAACGACCAAATAAACATGCAATTAAATTTCCGAATTTATAATGTACAATGTGTTTCGCGGACTATGAGTCACTCAGCACAGTGTATTAGTAACAGTGTGTTAGAAAGAAGCCTTGTAACAATAAGGCGTATTCACGGCATTTCTGTTTTAGGACGCTCATTCAGAGTTTACCAACCGAGCGAGACTGAGAATTTGATGATCCTGGTGTACAGTCTATTCAAAAACTAAAAGTGTCCAGGTTCGTCGTTTGCGTGCAACGTTACCCTTGGACACTTTTGAATGTGTCCAGTTTCGTCGTGTCGTGCAACGCCACCCCTGGACAAATTAAAAACTTGTCCAGGTTCGTCGTTTGCATGCAACGTTAAACTTGGACACATTTGAATGTGTCCAAGGGTAACGTTGCACGCAAACGACAACCCTGGACAACTTGAAAACTTGTCCAGGTTCGTCGTTTGCATGCAACGTTAAACTTGGACACATTTAAATTTGTCCAGATTCGTCGTGTCGTGCAACGCCACCCCTGGACAACTTATAAATGTGTCCAGGTTCGTCGTTTGCGTGCAACGTTAAGCTTGGACACATTTGAATGTGTCCATGTTCGTCGTTGTCTGCTTTTATCGTTGTCTGATTGAGGCGGTGTCTGCTTTTAACGTAGTCCACGTTTAACGTTGTCCAACTTCGACATCGTCCCGCCAGGGCGATTCCACCTGCACCTGACAACTAGCGTCTCAACTCAATTTCCTGATCAGGAACCGATGAGAACCTCTTCTGCGAATGAGGGGGGATGGTGGGAGAGCCCTTCACGTAGATTTAAGAAAAATTATAAAATTAACTTTACAATTTTTTAATTATGATATTAACTTTTAAATATAAAATTATTCTTTTTAAATATACTATACTGTCGTAACCTCACCTAACCAACCAAACTAGCTGATGATATAAAAAAGATACAAGATAAAAATCGAATGAATGTTTACTAATAACAAAATATTTCTGTTCATAAAATAAAATTATAAATGCTTCAAACTCTAACAAAAGATGTACATTTAAAAAAGTAATCGCATTCTAAGCAAAATCTTGGACAAAAAGTTCCAAAGTGGGAATCGATCCTCATCGACATCAGTCGATTACGCCATTACGCTAACCACTACGCCACGAACACCGATGGTTTCACCTCGTATCGTTGCGATAATGGTGTTCCCTCAAGAGAAGGGGGTAGCGGATTTCTACCCCCGGATATTTACCCCCATGAAAAAAACGACTACGTCATTTTGACGTCATGAGGGGCGGCCTATACACGGTCGAGTAACAGCCCGATCAGCTACGCTACGTAAGATTGATTGTTGTAATTGATTTTATTAATTTGTTATGTAAATCAACGGCCCTTTTGTTAATAATTAGCTTCTAATATCCAGTCTTGTTTAACATTATCTATCTTCCTAATTCAATAAGCTGTAACAGTCCTTTTTCACCCGACTTACTTCGTAGATTTTTACGATTGAGGTGTCATTTTAAAGCTTAAGACCCATTATAGCACATTCTCATATTCAGAGAACGTATAACGCTTAATAAGTCGTAACGTAATTGTAATTGGAAAATTCTGCCTTAAAACAAAACTTGTCAACTTATGTCCAAGTTATTATGAACAATAGTGTTCAAAATATTCATTCATAAGAATAACATATTGGAAGTTAATATGCAGGTTTCATGCCAATAAAATGTAAAAATTAGGCATTTTAAGGTAGTATACAGAATATCTTATCCAAATAAAGACACATGCCGAGTTTAATGAAGATGTGTCGAGAAATAAATGTTTATTTCTCGACACATCTTCATTAAACTCGGCATGTGTCTTTATTTGGATAAGATATTCTGTATACTACCTTAAAATGCCTAATTTTTACATTTTATTGGCATGAAACCTGCATATTAACTTCCAATATGTTATAGAGATATGTATCTCTAGCCCTGAGATCGCCCCTCAAGTCATCATTTTGAAGTTAACGAAACAAACACAGGCGAATTCGTAAATCCTACAACACCAATTTCTAGTTATATAAAATATTTTGGGGCCACAGGCAAAACCATCTATATTTTTAAGCCTTCTAATATGAACGAACAGTATAAAAAGCATCGATATTCTTGTAACGGTTGCTATCTGTGTACAATTCCATTATCTACACATACTCAATATAATCAATGCTATGTCTCATTATGGTTTTAGTACTTCCTAGTAATAATACTGGGCTGTCTAGTGTCTAAATTTCATTTATATTTACACTCTTCTAAAAGTTGGGTTAGAATTAAAATAAAATAGGCCTCATCATAAAATTAATGATGAAACTCATTTTACAAAGAAGAAATCAATACAGAAGTTGATTCGTTGAATCATAATATTGATTGATGTAATGGAAATAGAAGATAACGACGATCCAGTTGATAAGCTGTTGAAGAAAACTGGTTGTCTGGAGTTACATTACAAAGTTCAGGTAAAATTTACTGAGTTAAGTATTAAGTTACCTATCTTATCCCACTTTTCTGTAGTAGCAAAGATAGTAGCTAAGTTAACTTAACTTACCGGAATATATGGGTACTGTTTCTTAACTGGGCTATGCTAATATTGATTGAAACTATCGATTCAATTAGTAAACCTTCGTGCGATTTTTTCACCATCAGCAAGTTTGGTTGGTTAGGTTAGGTTATGATAGTTTTATTTTATAATAAAAATATTTAAAAATATCGATTATTAATCAATAGCCTATTTTCAATTCGATAGTTTCAATCAATATTAGCATAGCCCAGTTATGAAACTGTACACGAATATATTTATTTTATATACATTTAAATCATCAACAAAAATGGTCTGTTTAGACTGAAAAGTTGAACTCATCTTAACCTTACAAGCTCAAAGGGCTGTCTACAAGTAATCAGTGTAAAGAATTGCCTAGGCCTAAGTAAGTAACTTATGAAAATAATAAGTTTATCCATGTTTGCCTCCTGGATTGATAACTTAATGAGTACCGGTAATAATAATAGGTTAAATACATTGTTTACGTCCTCAATCCAAGTCGTCTGTTATAATGACTATAGTTTCGGGAGCCAACAGCCCCATTGTCAAATTTTCTGTCTTGTTAATTACTGTTGATAGCATTGGTCACCGTTGAAGTTCACATATATACATACACTGACACACGAAACATTTATATTTACACGTAACGTTGAGAATTTATACTTTTGGCCGGCCTAAACAAAAGTGATTAACTTATATCGTTGTGCGGACCGGTACACTGACTGACTGATTCATGTTAGACGATGCTCTGGAGACCTCCAGGGTACCGTTTAAACTTAAACCAGAACCAAAACTGAGACTTACCAGTGGCGTCAATTGATAGAAGTAGATATAAACTTAAGGGGGGCAAGGCTGCACTTCAGTTTACGCCCCACATGCATTCTATTAAAACTATCGATTAACTTATTTCATTTGATTGTAAATATCCGATCCATGTTCCTTCCTGTTATTTATGCACCACACGTTATTTTTACACATTATGCTTATTAAGTCTGAAAACCATGTGTCCCTTAAAGTACCTAGCATAGTATTAGATTTTTTTGTTTGGCTAGGTTCAGAACTATTGAGAAAATTGTATAGGTAGGCTATTCCATTGATTTATAAATTGACTAGCTGTACCCGCGGGCTTTGCCCCGTTTAACTTCATAAGTGAGCTTGTTCGCATGGCTCAATCATGTCCTGGTTGAAGTTCGTTCGCTACGCTCACTCACCTCTTAGTTGCAAATTAGCTGTTGTCATAAATTTTAAAGAAATAATAGTGCTGCACCCTGTTGGTAATCCTTGTAACTTTAATGCTATTGAGCATCATAGAACAGAACCAACTTGTTTAATTGAAACAGCTGTTAAGATTCATTAATTCCATTTCAATATGAGTACTCATAAGGTTAACATGGGAAACTCTCAGAGCCACTGGGGTGGAGCCCGAGAGTCCGATCAGAATAAAAACAGCTTTAGTTTTCCTATTTAATGCCTAAAGAATCAGTGTACCAAATTTCAGCCTCCTAGGTAAATGGGAAGTAAGAGAATTAGTGATGAGTGAGTGAGTCAGTCAGTCAGTGAGGGCTTTGCCTTTTAGTTATCGAAAACCTTTAGATCTCATAAGGTATCTAAAGTCTTGTTTTAATCTTGTTCCATTATAAAGAAGTTTTATGTAGCCTAGACTGCTCACTTGCGCCTATACAAGGGATCTGTTTCTATAACTTACTAGTGTTGAATCTGTTTTACTTAGTTTTTTTTATTAATCTGTTAAACCTACAAACTACAGGCTAATCAATCATACTTTCACTACCTACAAGAAACATCAAAATTATGTGTTACATTTTTGTTGTATGTTAGGTTTTGACTTTTAACAATTAAGTTTACTGTAGGCCTGCTAAATTTTTCAACCTTTTGTGTGTGTTTTCAGTTTTGTGAACTCTCTATCAATGTAGCATACAATGAGTTGAACTAATAACTTGTAAAATTGTGTCCAGGCCTAAGGCCTACCGCACACGAGAGACTTTTTGTCGGCCGACTTTTTAGTCGTAGTCGGGAGTCAAAGTCGGCCCCATAGTGGTAAATCTGAGCGCGCACACGGGCCGACCGCAGCAAGACAGTCGGCAGACTGTCTGCAGACAGTCGGGGCAGTTTGGTGCTGACCGATTTTCCCGCCGACTGCTCCCCGACTCAACTGTCGTGTCTTATTGATAAAGGCATGGAGATAAGTTTGATCACGCACACTGACGACTAAAAAGTCTGTCTGTCTGACAGTCGAGTGCATTGTTATCATGTGTATTATTATTGTTTGTATTATTATTTGTGTGTTATTGGTATTATTATGGCTTCGACAACCACCAGTGCAAGTGTTTTGAGGGACGAGAAAGTTGATAAACTTATCGATGAAGTTTAGGCATGGTCACCTCTTTATAAAAAGACTTTGAAAGAGTATTTGGTCATAATTAAAAAAATACCCCCGCTGCAGCAAACCTGCAGACTAAGTGAATTCCCAGTTGCCTGATTTAATTTTTTATTTAATCTATTTCAATAAAATTAGGATAAATGAGTACCTAGGTTTGCTGCTACAGGGGGGGGGGTTATTCAGGGTGTGTTTTAGTAAAACATTAATAGCTGAGTATAAAATAAATATATTTGCCAAGTTGTATCAAAATACATCCATAAACAAGCAAAATACCTTTTTACTTGGTCTACATATAAATGACATGAAAATTTTTACTTTAAATATTTTGGAATTTCCCTGTAATCATTATGATAACAATTAGCATGCTAAATTATTTATTTTTCAAGCTCTGCAGAATTAGATGCAAAATTAGCTATGCAAAATGGGAAACCCCCATTTTTACCCCATAAACCCCCGTTCCCATAGTCATGCTGGTTTGCGAACTCATTCGAATAAAATACATGTAGATTTAGATTTACACGTTTGTACCAAATTTCATCAAAATCGGATAGTTTTTTTCTAGTTATCGTGCCTAACGGACAAATATATATATATGGGTTTGTGAATTTGAACGGATGGTGCTTTTGGCCTCTGCGGACATCAAACCGAAAAGGTAAATTGGTCCCGGGACCAGGTCTCACCATGAGACCTACGGTTACAGCTTATTCCCTAAAAGTTATGGGATGAGGTATTTGAAGCCGGGGTATTAACAATTGGTCAAAAAAATCAACACTCATCCATGAGTACATGGAAAAATGTGTCCGGATATTTCCTCAAATCCGAGTATAGAGGTAAATCTGGCCTTTCAAGGTTCTCGGACTATAAATTGGATACACCCAGTATTTTCTCTTAAGTTTTCTTGCACGAAATCTTATCAGTAACGCACAATATGACAGCGGCTTCTGTCATATACATCCTTTTGACACTCTAAAGACGACTAAACAGTCGTTTCGTGTGCGCACCCATAGTCAACGACCAAACAGTCTTGACGACTTTTCGATTGTCCACCCGACTCCAGCCAGACAGATGGCCAACAGTCGGCCGACAAAAAATCTCTCGTGTGCGGTAGGCCTAATGCTTGGTCAAACCACTAGGCCCTGATATTGAGGATTTTGGTAAAATTAAATTCTCTCCTAATTTATTCAAGTACCTAATATCATGATAAATAAATAGTAGGTACTTCAGTATTAAACGGAGGCCACATTTTGTCAGCGCGCTGCGGCGGTTATGTTAGGTTGGGTTATCATAATAGAAAGTATCGTTCGATTCATAACGAAGCGAGGAAAGTCCTACACACATAATATTTACGATAACCCAACCTAACATAACCGCCGCAGCGCGCTGACAACATGTGGCCTCCGTTTAATACTGAAGTACCAAATAATAAATGTAAACATATCAGACAATATTCAAATTAGAAATAGAATTTTTCTGAATTAAGCCTGATGGTAGGAAAAAAAATATTTTTAGCGTTAAAAAAATAAATTAAATTGATGTTGAATCGTGTATTTCTTAGTTTTGTACAGTTAAAACCTTCTCATCTCAATTAGTTGTGTTTCTATTAAGTGAATTCATCATAGGAATGTTCCTGAAACAGATCCCTTGTTTTCAGGAGTGTATTGCTGACAAAAAAGATTGGAGAAAGTGCCAAGACGACGTCAAGAGGTTTAGAGTTTGTATGGACGAATATAACAAAAAACGGAAGGATGCATTAAAGTGAAAGCTCAAACAATGGCGAGTCTAACCTCAATCTTGTCTGGCTTCGCCTTTGGCTTTGCGGCTGTTGTCTTATGGAAAGGAAACATGAGAGGGTTGTTAGCTGCTGCGAATTCCATTACGCAGACAAGCGGTGAGATGAAGATGGCATTGGTGGTGAGAACAGATTTGAAACTGGGAAAAGGAAAAGCAGCTGCCCAGTGTGCTCATGCTGCTGTGTCGTGCTACAAACGAGCTCTGTATGACGCTGACAAGTATCTGCAACAGTGGGAGAAGGAGGGGCAACCTAAAGTTGTCATGGCTACTTCCGGAGAGCAAGGGCTGCTCACTCTGGCTAGAGATGCTCAGAAGAAGGGATTGATTGCAATTGTCATTCACGACGCCGGTCACACACAGATCGCGAGGGGAACTGCAACTGTTGTTGGGATTGGACCAGGACCTCACGATATGGTCAACAGTGTTGTGGGACAGTTGAAACTCTTTTAAATTTTCATATACTGTTAGTTAGAGCAATAAACTAAACTGTTGACTTTGGTATCTTGAACATTTTATATGAATCCTATCACAAAATTTACTGCGTATTCAGTCAGCAAATTTCCCATATTGGGAATAAGCTATTACTGTAGGTCTCGTGGTAAGACCTAGCCCTGGAATTGATTGAATTTTTTTGTTTTGAGGAACCCAGAGGCCAAAATCATCCAGTTGAATTCATATATCCTTATATATAATATGTGAAGGCGATTTATACGAAACACTACTCCTCCGTTAATAATGGACAGATTTTTACAAATGATTTTTCAAAATTAAGTATTTTTTGAGTAGACAAACTCAAAAACATTGGTGGCCCCCTTTCACCAATTTCTGGAATTAAAGTCCTCGGGCTTTGCTCCACAGGCCATCAAAATCCCGTACTTCTTATGAATAAAATTTACTAACCCAGCTGTTAATGCTGTTATGCTTCGTTCTGCAATTTAATTTAATTTGTTTATATGAAGATGGTCAATGATTTAGACTTTTGCGTTTTGCATATATTTTAAATGCAATAAACTATATAAAGTGGTGGTAATACATAAAGAAATCTGCATTTAAATAATCAATAAGTACGATTGAGCTTTGCCTATTTTATGTTTTCTGGTAAGTGCATTGTAGCTGTTTCTTATTGTAGATTTAAAAAACCGGATTATTCTTTTCTGCATCCTCACCGAAAACCCGTAGCGAAGCACGGGCAGAGCAACTAGTATTTATAAATGTGTGTGTTAGCACAATAACTCGAGTAAAAATGTTTTTCATAAAATTTTTATAAACCTGAAAATCTGTTTATTTGAACAAGTTCACAAACCAGCATGACCGGACTATGGGAAAAGGGATTTATGGGGGTTTTATGAGGTAAAAATCGGATTTTCCAATTTTGACCTTCAAAATGTAACCTTTGCAAATTCTTTCTTTTATCCATTTTGTAGGACTTAAAAAAATTTAGTACATTGAAGCGTTGCGCTGCATTTTGCTGAATTGTTACAGAGAAAAATATACCCCTGCTGTAGCAAACCTGTAGCCTAGCGAATTTCCATTCTGATTGAATTTTCACTAACATATCAAGTAAAAAATTTCATATTCATTCAATATTTAAATAACATTACTGAAGTTTAACAAGTAGCCTACTTAGGTTTGCCGCTACATTGAAGGTAAAGTGTTTTTATTAGCAAATTTCCCAAATAGGGAATATTGGAAAATTTTTTCCCATATAGGGAATAAGCTATTACCGTAGGTCTCATGGTAAGACCTAGACCCGGGACCGATATACTTTTTGGTTTTGAGGCCCTCAGAGGCCAAAAACACAATCCGTTCAAATACACATAATTATCACACATAATACACATAATTATACACATAATTAATAGGTACACATAATTATATTTCCGTTAGCGCAATAGCTTGAGCAAAAATAATCCGATTTTGATTAAATTTGGTACAAACAAGTAAACCTACGTTTATTCGAACTAGTTCACGAACCAGCATGATTGGAAATGGGAACGGGGGTTTAGGGGGGGGGGGGTTTATGGGGTAAAAATTAATTTTTCACTTTTTTGAGCCTGAAAACACAAAATTTCATAATTTCTCTCCAAACCATTTTGTAGAGCTTAAAAAAGAGATAATTTTGTATATTGAAGTGTAGTTGTAAGCCCAACGGTTACTAGATACCTAATTAAAAAGAATTGTAAATTTAAAATTCTCATGGGGAATAAATAAACTATTGTAGTTGGCTTGATTAAGGATATATTTTAACACAATTTGGAAATTTGGCTTATTTCATACTTGCTATCAACATTGCAATAAAAAAACACACCTCAATATCTTCCCTGTAGCAGCAAACCTAAGTACTTACTAAAATTAATGTTATTTAAATAGGAAATAAATCTGACATTTTTTAGGGAATATTTTGGTAGAAATCCAGCCAGGTAAATTTGCTTAGTCTCCAGGTTTGCTGCGGTGGGGGGTGGGGGTATATTTATATTTTTTTAAATAATTAAATAGACATAATGTGTGTCTAGACCCAATTTCTTAAGCCTGTATCATGAATTAAGGTAAGTTATAGGATTACAACACCTTCTGTGTAAATAATGAAATGAAATCAACTTTATAGTACAGGTAAAATAGGGTTTTATAAACAACAAAATTTGTACATTCATGAAATTTTACCTGTGAGTTACTAATAATATGAGAAATGAAGATCCGATGAGTCCCCAAAATTTTGGGCGTGCTAAGGCCCTTTTTGGGGCCCTTTTTGTTCCGAAGGGCCCTTGTTCCTGAATAATTTTGTTTTTACGTTTAAGGTCGAGTGTGGTGTGGTTTTCGATGGTTTTAGTTATTTTAAATCGATTGGGACTAGTTTTAAGTGTATTAAACCACTCTATACAGGGTGTTTAGAAATATTATTACTTTTTACGATATTTAAACATTTATTCATAAAGTCATAAAATTAGTTACCTCCATGCTCTATATAAAAGGGGATTATTGAAAATTACTGTAATTCTTTACTATATAAGAGGGAAGGATCACAAGGAGTAAGAGAAAATATTAAATACACCCTGTCACAGCAAACCTGCAGACTAAGCGAATTTTCATTCACCCCGATTTTCAAATAAATCTAAAATAGCATTGAGTTTAATGAATACTTAGGTTTGCTGCTACAAGGAGGCTAATAAAGTGTGTTTATAGTAAAATATTAATAGCCTAATATAATAAATTTGACAAGATTTACTAAGACATATCTATAAACAAACAAACAAAATCATTTTACACTATTCTCCTTAAGAATACTGTAACATGAAATTTTAAATTTACAAATTTTGAATTTTTTCGTAACTAATACACTTACAAAAAACGTTAATATACTAAATTATTTGTTTTCTTTAAGCTCTTTAAAATGCTCTAGAGAAAAAATTGGGAAACTTTGTCTTTTGAGGGCCAAAGATTACAAAATTTTACCACATAAAACCCTGTTCCATGGACCGATTATGCCAGTTTCGTTAAAATTGAACCAAAATTACTCAAGTTATCATGTTTACGGACACGTATATAACATGGATATATTATATTTTATATATGTATATAAACACATACATATATAATTAGTTTGAGTGGGTGGTGCTTTAGGCTTCTGGGGGCATCGAAATGAAAACGTAAATCGGTTTCGGGTCCATGTTTTACCATAAGACCTCCCGTAATAGCTTATCTCCTATATGGGATGTTCGCTAAAAGGGGATGGATTAAGTTTTACACTATAACATAATAACATAGGTTGCTAAGCAAAAATTTAAACTTTTAAGGTGGGGTGAATATTCTTTCAACGTGTTTTTTATGCAAAAGACCAATTTCAAATTGATATGTATTTTTCTTAGGTAGTTATTTAAGTTATTTTTTTTACATTTATTAAAAATTAAAACAATTTTATTTGTATAAAACCTTACATTAGCCTACATATTAAAATGAAGTACTTAAACTAAAGCTATTTTTCTACAATTTCCGTAGTATCTCTCTTTACAATTTCATCATCACAATAATTATTCTCAGACAACTCATTACCGGTAACAATTTTATTATTCTTAGCAACTTGCCCATCTTTACTGATTTTGTCCAAGTTGGTGATCAAGCAGGATTCCACTTTAAAAACCTAAAACCTTCTGAGTAATGGAACTTTAAAATTAACTAATTTATTTTAAATTAATTAAACTTTTAAAATTTGTTTGACTCCATCAAAGACGTTTGAAACGAAGACATACTCCAGATAAGACGAGAGTTACTTGCATGAAAAATTTCATTGCTACAAATTGTTTGACCGAATAAATTAAATGTAGGGATTCACTTCGTTTGAGAAACTAGTGAGCTAGACGGGCTGAAGAATGCACCAACAAAATTGTAACAATAATTTAAACTGTGAAATTATGCTATACATAGTTAAGGGCTAAAATTTGGGAACGGTGCCATCTGTTGACATTCGATCAAACTCAATTCCCTTTGTTTACAACTAAACATACACGTAGTTTGAAATAGTTTTTAAGGTTAACCGTAAACTGCAGGACTTAATACTTCCAGAGCAAAGCCGGAATTCATATATTTTTTTTAACATCTGTTAACTAAGTCTGGTTCATAAATAAAGAGTTTTCCTAGCAATACTTAGACGACAAATTGTTTTGGTTACAGTTTGGTGTGAAGAAGTGAATGTTTAAAAGTGATTGTTCACAGGGCAGAAATCTGTTACGTATTATATTATCATGTAATTTACAATTTTTATCAAAATTCCTTCATAGTGTTTTCTGTTGTTTGGGTTAACTTTCGTATTTTATTAATTATTAAATGCTACCAGTAAGATGAAGAACTGTGAGTGGCTGGAGGTAACATGAACGTGACAGCTTGCATCAACCTCCCAAATGGAACATTTGACGGATACAGAGTGGCAGTACCGCCATGGCGATACATCCAACCTTAGACAAATGAACATTACATGTTAACATTTTAAGCAAGAAAAGACTGGTCGACACGGTAAAATTTTTACTCTTTGTTGCCATAAATGAAAGGTTTGTTTGCCTCATTTGCGGAACTCACCATACTTTCAGGGACTTATTGGAAATGGAAACTCCCAATCTGAAAACAGCAATGTGAGACTTAGATCCAGAATTTTTTTGGATACAATTTGTCAATTCAATTCCGCTATTGAAACTGTTAAACGCGTATCCATTCTAGATCTGTCATTAGATCCACTTGCTTACACTCTTATGTTTGCAACCGGAGACTTTGGTTGGGACCACTAATTTAAACATCGGTCCAGCCGTTCTTGAGTTATAAAGTGGTGTAACCAACACGACTTTGTTTATAGACATATATACATATACAGTATAATAAACGGTATTAGCAAACTGACACATACTTTCTTCCATAAGCTTGTTGTAATCTTGGGTAAGTGGTGGGAGTAACTTTGATCCTAAAATCTGATATTTTGTTATTTTATGGGGTTTTATGAGACGTAACATAAGTTACAA